TACTCTGCCAAAGAAAGCAACTTGTTGGATGGATAGAGAAATGGAGGGCTCACTGCTATACCGAACCAAGTCATGAAAAATAAAAAATGCCGAAACTAGTGCCAATGTCCCCGCATATGGCAAATCTGTTTACTCTGTAAAGCACAATGTCAAAAAGTGTTTCGTTCCAAAGATAACGTTAAAAAACCTAAGTCCACGACTGTCATTTTCGTTTTTATTCAAAGCAAAAATGAACCAAGTCAGTGTGTTTCACTTTGAATCAGCGTATATATAGATATCAGCAATGATTCAATGTTGATTTAGTGATGTCCATCCGTCTGTCTGTCCATCTGTGGAAATCACTTTAGCTTCCGAGGCGTTTGTAGTAGGTTGATAAAATTTACTCAGATGTGTGTTTGGTCCACAGGGCTTTTGGTATTGGAAATGATCGGTATTTTGATGACTTTAATGACATTATTTACCAATTTTTTTCATATTTCGTATTCGGTATTATGATGTTTTTGCGATATTATTTACCGGATTTTTTCAAGTTTCCTATTTGAATATTGTAATGGACTATGACAAAACTTGCTGTGCAGGTCCACTTTTTCGTATATACCCCCATATTACGATAACTCTCTATATTCGGTATTTTTATGATTTTTAAATGTATTTTTTAATATCCAAATCCTTTCCAAATGGTAGAGGGTATTCAAAGATCGGCCCGACCGAACTTACTGATTTTTTATTTGATATACTTTACCTAATACACATTAAATATTAGTATGGGCACAATTACAAGAAAATCGTACATTATTCCATATTCATCTCATGTTTCTGGTTGAGAGAAATATTTAGATATAGCAAGTTGTAAAGAATCATCGACTTGTTTCGCAAGTTATGACAGATAAAGGCATTGAAAATTGTGACCCCTTGTGGGTGATGTACCGGAAGGGGTTCGCAGATATATTCCATCTTCACAACAAATATTGTGTTAGCGAAAATGTTTGTATGTGTGAAATCTAAAGGGAGTAGGATGATTATTTCGTTTTCTTTCAGTTTTGTTTTTCAAAATCTTAAACCCTGTGTGGGAAGGTACCAGAAGAAATGGTCCGATCTCTACCATCTTTATAACAGATCTTGTGTTGAAGGAAATTTTGAAATGTACCCAATCTGAATGAAATCGAATAATATCGCGTCTTATGAGCTTCATGGATATTCAAAATGTTGACCCTTTGTGGGGATGATACCAGAGGTAGTGGAGCGATATATTCCATATTCACAGCAGAGCGTGGTTTAATAAAAATATTCTGATCTGTGTAATTTGAACACAATCGGAAAATTTCATCACATTTTATAAGAGTTATAATTATTCAAAATGTTTACCCTTTGTGGGGGAGGTACTTGTTGGAATGGACCACTGGAGCACTGACCGAATAAGGATAACTTTCGAATATGTGATGAACTTAACATGAAAATAAAATTCGATAAAGACGAAAATACAAATTTAATTTGGCAAAAGGAACTTCACTTAAAAGCAGCACAGCTAGCTCGAGACTCACTGAATACAGAAGTGCCATCTGATGAGCACTATTTCTGTACTTTCGACATTCAAAAAGCATTGCCTTTTCCAAAGCTATCAACATCAGTTGCTTATTACAAGCGGAACATCAACTATATTTAGTCATAAAATGAACAATTTATTTATTTTTTTGACTTGGTTCGCTTTAGCTGTAAAATCTTCAAATTTTATTCAGAGTAATAACGAACCAAAGCAGGTTTTTTGTTTTTGAATATTTTTTTTAGTAATATATTTAAATTATTTTTCTTTTAACTTTATATCATTAGTTAATTTTGAATATAGACTTTTACATTTTCTTTTGGTAGACTAAAATATTGCTTCCAGAATTTAATTGCAGTACATTTACTTTACCTCTAAATATCTTGGAATTATGTTTTTATGACTTAGTTCGGTATAGCTGTGAGCCCTTCAAATGTACCTCCAATCAAAGAAAAATGTGACGTTACAACATCAAATTGCTCAAATCACACTCAATGACAGACAGGTAGGTAGAGAAACGTCACAAAGCCATGCAATGAAATACCTACAGGTGTCGATACACCATCAGTTGGGTAGTCATGGTGGTAGTGGTTTAGTTTTTCCAAGTTTTCCATATTTTGTTGTTGTTATTTTCTTATGGATTATAACACATTTTCCTTCTTCGATGGTATGTGAGAGACATGGAAGAAGTGAGAGAAGGAGGGGGGAGGATGAGGGAATCTAGTTTTCTATTATTCTAACAACCTGTTGTTGGTGTTAGTAACCGAGAGAAACAAATACAAGGCGAGAGAGAGAGAGGGCTGTTAAGCTAACGGTTTTTCATCAAAGAAGAAAAAAAGAAGAACAGAAAAACGTGCTAGTTTACACGTGGTTTCAAGAGAGGAAAGGGGTTTGGATAATATTCAATACCCCAATCAAATAGACTTTAAGAATATGTCTATAGAGACCAGCCGGGCTTTACCTCACCTGTATCAACCAGCTCGTTCATAAAGACCAACTGACATCCATAAAGACTAACTGGCATCCAGCCTGGACTTCAGTTGTTAACACAAGCGGCGGCCATGGTGATGGTGTGGGCCGCCATAACAGCCGATGGTCGCTCTCCGCTCGTATTAAACGACCGTGGCACCAGAATAAATGCCGAATATTATCGCGAAAATATTCTGGAGGGTGTATCCAAAGCCTTGGGCACGCAAACATTTTGGCCGCAGACTTGGACATTCCAACAGAACTCAGCACCATCGCTCTCAGCACGCTCAGCATCCAAGAATGGTTAAAAAATGAGGTTCCTCGCTTCATTTCCAGCGCACAATGGCCACCAAAATCTCCGGATACCAATCCGTTGGACTATTGTGTCCAGAGTATTTTGGAAAGCAAGGTTGGCACTAAAAAATACCAAAGTGACGTTCACCTCAAGCAAGCGCTTCGCCGGGAATGGGCCAAAATATCGCAGAGCAACATTCGGGGAGCGTGTGACGGTTCAGTCATTAGCCGTTTGAAGGTCGTGCCAAAGGTGACCAATTGGAACAAATTTAAACTTATTCTAAAATTTGATGCTATTTCCGACATTTTTGCTTTCATTCAATGAAATTTAGAAAAAAAATGTAAAAATTATGGCTGTTTTTATACCTTTCACCATAGTGTGGAGGATATATAAAGTTTGTCATTCCGTTTGTAACACCTCGAAATATACATTTTAGACCACACAAATCTTGATCAGCATACAATTCTATGTCGATTTAGCGTTGTCCGTCCTTCTAAACGTCTGTGGAAATCACTCTAGCTTCCGAACGAATTGAAGTGGATTGATAAAATTTTGCTCAAATGTATATTATGTCTGCAGGACTTTTGGAATTTAAGATGGGCAATGTAGGTCCACGTTTTGGTATAGCCCCATCTAACGGTACCTCCCTATATTCGGTATTTTGATTATTTTAGCGACTATTTTCATCGAAATTCTCTCAAATTTTATATTTGAAGTTCGTAATGATTACTACAGCCTAGCACATAAAATTGTCTATGCAGGTACACGTCTTCGTAAAGCCCCCATATAGCGACATTATTCTCCGGAATTGTTTCAAATTTAGCATTTGAAGTTCGTAATATATGTTACAGCCTATAACAGGAGATTGTCTGAGTAGCTCCACGTCTTCGTATAGAACCCATATAACGGTACCTCTCGATATTCGGTATTTTGATGATTTGAGTGACATTATTCACCGGAATTGTTTCAAATTAGGTATTTGATGTTCGTAATGGATGCTTCAGCCTGTGACAGAAAATTGTCTATGCAGGTCCAGGTCTTCGTATAGCTCCGGCACCAACCGATATTCGATATTTTGATGATTTTAGCTACATTATTCACCGTTTATTTCGAGTTTCGAAATTTAATGGTTGGTAATGATAATGGCTTGTGACAGAAGTTACCTATGCAGGTGCATGTCGTCGTGCAGACCCTAATATAACAGCTACATTCGTTATTTTTAAGATTTTAACAGAATTTTTAACGGATTTTATTGTTTTTGAGAATTGCCAAATTCGTTCCAAATGGTGGAGGGTGTTAAAAATTCGGCCCGGTCGAACTTACAGTTTTTTACTTGTTTTTATCTCACCCTGTAGACCCCTCCTGTTCGTCCATAAAATCACCCTCCATTTGGTCTAAAACTACGCTTTTCCATCGAACTCGTCTACAAAGACTCCCTTCAACTCGCTTTAAAATGACTTCCTCCTCCCGCTGGTCTATAAAGTCCCCACCCTTCTTCTGCTATTCTATTCATAAAAATGAAAAACTTTTTTTTTCATTTTACATCAGAACAAAGAAGAGATAAGGTTCAATTCTTACAGACAAAACCAAGAAGCAAACAAAAACAAAAGAAAATAAATCACAAAAAAAACAAAACCAAAATTGAGTTATTTATAATTTTAAAGTAGCAACAACAACAACAATAAATAAACATATCCACAATTGCTTGCATGTTTTCCATCTTTTGTGTTCGGAACTATGGAAAAAGAAAAGAAAAACTATCATTTCATAGAGAACAACAACAACAGCAACGGATGGAAAATAATTTTAATCAGAATAGGAATTTGATTTCACGGCTTGTGGCACGAGAAGAACATGAAATGCAAGAAGCAGCAAATTGTCAGTCATGAGACATGATCATGCAATTGAAACTGCAGATCCAAAGACAAAATGGAAAAAAAATAACAAAAAATCAAAACTCATAAAAATTCAATAGGAAAATTTCAAAAAAAGGGTTTTGGATGGTTGGTCATTGGCCTTCCTCCAGCTACTCGCGTAGTCAAGTCACTCAGCTGTGAAATGTGCATTTGTAATTTTTTTTTTCGTTCTGGTGGACAATTATAAATTCTGTCTAAATCTATTTTCGGCTCCACCTTAGCCATTTGGCTAACTTATTTTAATGGCTAATTGAAGTTTTAAGTCTAGCGACCGACTTACCTGTTTCGTGGGTGATTGGTATTTGAAGAGACTCCTCTTGGCGGTCGGCGTATATGCATTCTCATTGCGCTCATCACTGATGGCCTTTACATCCTCAATGGCCGTGCCCAGTAGTTCATTTTTCAGCAGACACGAATATGCCAAACTGTCACGGGCCGTTTCACCGCAGTCCCTTTGCTTTTTACTCGTCTGTGGTGAGTTTTCATTTGATTTATTTATTGAAGCGAAATTTGTTTGCCAATTATTGTTTGCTCTGCAAAGGGAAGAGGGGGGAAAAAAGCAAAAAATTAATAATCGAAAAAATAATATTAAAGTGGCAAATTATAGGGTCTGTGGAAATCACTCTAGCTTCCGAACTAAATGAAGTAGATTGATAAAATTTTACTCAAATGTGTATTATGTCTGCAGGACTTTTGGTATGGAAAATGGGTGATGTAGGTCCTCGTTTTAGTATAGGCCCCATATAATGCTACCTCCCTATTATCGGAATTTTGATAATTTTAGCGACATTATTCTCCGGAATTGTCTCAAATTTGGTATTTGAAGTTCGTAATGGGTACTACAGCCTAAGACAGGAAATTGTCTGTGCAGGTCCACGTCTTCGTATAGCCCCCATACAACCGTACCTCCCTATTTTCGGTTTTTTGACGATTTTAGCGACACTATTCACCGGAATTATTTCAAATTTGGTAAATGAAGTTCGTAATGGGTACTACAGCCTATGACAGAAAATTGTCTGTGCAGGTCCACGTCTTCGTATAGCCCCTATACTTTGATGATTTTAGCGTCATTATTCACCGGAATTGTTCCAAATTTGGTATTAGAAGTTCGTAATGAGTACTACAGCCTATGACAGAAAATTGTCTATGCAGGTCCACGTCTTCGCATATACCCTAATATAACGGCCACATTCGGTATTTTTAAGATTTAAGAATTTTTCATGGATTTTTTTTTTCTGAAAATTGCCAAATTCGTTCCAAATGGAAGAAGGTATTCAAAGATCGGCCCGAATGAAAGCAACAAATGTCCAAAAAATAGCATCAAATTTCAGAATAAGTTTAGATTTATTCGAATTGGTCAACTTTGGCACGAATTATGGCCTTCAAACGGCCAATGAAACCGTCACATGCTGCCCGAATGTTGCTCTGCGTTATTTTGGCCCATTCCCCGCGGAGCGCTTGCTTGAGGAGATCGACACTTTGGTATTTTTTTGCTTTCCAAAATACTCCAGACACAATAGTCCAACGGATTGGTATCCAGAGATTTTGGTGGCCATTGTGCACTGGAAATGAAGCGAAGAACCTTATTTTGTAACCTGAGCCCTGTCGGATTGTCGAAGGTCTGCGGCAAAAATGTTTGCTTGCCCAAGGCTTTAATACACCCTCCAGAATATTTTCGCGATAATATTTGGCATTTATTCTGATGCCACGGTCGATTAATACAAGCGGAGAGCGACCATCGGCTATTATGGCGGCCCATACCATCACCATGGCCGGCGCTTGAGTTCTGGTGGCCAACTGAAGGTGCACATTTTCAGCTGACCTCTTTGGCAATAAACTGCTGGACAACGAATGTTTTCTGATCAGAGAAAACCAAATTCGGCAGTTCACCACTTTCGGCCAAGCGAAACAACTCTTTAGCTCTTTTGAGGCTATTTTCTTTCTGTTGCGGTGTAAGTTCTTGCACTTTTTGGAATTTCAATGGCTTTACCCCGAGCTCATTTTTCAATATTTCCGAATGGAATATTGCGAGCCATTTTTCGGCCACTGCAACGTGGGTTTCGATCAAGTCGCTTCTTTATTTCTCGAACCATTTCTGCTGACGTTTTCTTCCGACCACTTCCTTGACGTCGGGCTACGCTACCACGGTATCACGGTGACGAGCGAGGGTTCGAGACACAAAAGATTTATTCACATTTAAATGCTGGAGTGCTCTATAGCTACTTGTGGTTCTCCAGTCAAATATAAAGAAATCACACTATCACGCTTGAATTCCAAAACGAATAACTTTTTTTCTGGAAAATTCTCACCCAAAATGCTTTTGGAGGCTTGTAAACAATATTATGAGCTGTCGCTGAAATAATTTTAACAGCTGTCGGACGAGTGGCTTAGAAATGACAGCAGTCTGAAGTTGGTTGCAGTTTTTTCATCTCACCCTGTAGCTATCAGAAAAGAGCTTTAGTAGGATGAAATAAGAAAATCTTTAGCAGCTCTCCTATTGATGAAAGTCTTTAATTTAAAGTTTTCCTCAAATACGTCAAGCAGAATTTATAGACGAAAAGGAGGTAACCTTTACTTGGACAAAAAAGAGGTCCTTGTGGACTATAAGAAAGTAGCCTTTACAACAAAACCTGAAATTCCACAAACCCTGGGTTAAAATTCACGAAATTTAAAGTCAATATCCTCGCTGTTTTAAACTTCATTTCCCATATAATTACAAACTTAAATTACGACTTTATTTAAATAAGTTACTCACTAAGCAGGAAAGAAAGCTCCGATAAACTTCATTTGAAATGGGTGTGTGGTTAAGAGAAAAAAAAACAGACCCAATAACATTCAACGCCAAAAGAACCTTTTTTAAATTACTGGCATTCTCCATCAGCAGCAACAGCAACAACAACAACAGAAAAAAAACATTTTTAACGGAAGTTGACACTATGACGGCTTCATGATTCAATTGGAAACATTAACCCACCACCGGTAAATTCTGTTACCTCAAAACACACAGGTGGAATGCAAATCCAAATGTAAATGTTGTCGTCACCTTCTCTGTGTCTGTTTTGGCAGAAGTCAATACTTTTGTTGTTTTTATTTTTTTCTTTTTGTAAAGGAAAGGGCTTGGTGTTTCTACAGACACAAAAATATTAAATTTCCGTTATTATTATAATTTATAGCAAGGGGAAAGGGAGGGGAGGGAGGGTGTTAACTATGCAAGTTTTTGTATACAATGAGTATTTCCTGTTAGCATATTCTTACAACATAAGCCGCTTGATAAAGCGAGCGAACGGCCATGGAGTCTTTATAGACAAGCTCCAGAGAGACTTTATGGATACGGGAAAGAATCTTTTTAAGAAGCTGAAGGGGCAGATAGCCTCTATAACCGAACTGAAGTGTCAGGCAATCAGAAAGGCAGGGAATACCTAACGACCATCTAACGGGAAAAAAGTCTCCATAGACGAGCTGAAGCCCAGGGAGTCTTTATAGACGAGCTGAAGCCCAGGGAGTCTTTATAGACGAGCTGAAGCCCAGGGAGTCTTTATAGACGAGCTGAAGCCCAGGGAGTCTTTATAGACGAGCTGAAGCCTAGGGAGTCTTTATAGGCGAGCTGAAGCCCAGGGAGTCTTTATAGACGAGCTGAAGCCCAGGGAATCTTTATTGACGAGCTGAAGGGCCAGGGAGTCTTTATAGACGAGCTGAAGGGCCAGGGAGTCTTTATAGACGAGATGAAGCCCAGGGAGTCTTTATAGACGAGCTGAAGCCCATGGAGTTTTTATAGACGAGCTGAAGCCCAGGGAGTCTTTATAGACGAGCTGAAGCCCAGGGAGTTTTTATAGACGAGCTGAAGCCCAGGGAGTCTTTAGAGACGAGCTGAAGCCCAGGGAGTCTTTAGGGACGAGCTGAAGCCCAGGTAGTCTTTATAGACGAGCTGAAGCCCAGGTAGTCTTTATAGACGAGCTGAATCCCAGGTAGTCTTTATAGACGAGCTGAAGCCCAGGGAGTCTTTATAGACGAGCTGAAGCCCAGGGAGTCTTTATAGACGAGCTGAAGCCCAGGGAGTCTTTATAGACGAGCTGAAGGCGAGGACCAGGGAGTCTTAATGGACGAGCTGAAGGGCCAGGAAGTCTTCATGGACGAGCAGAATGTGAGTCGTTATAGACCAGCTGAAACCTAGGGAGTCGTTATCGACGAGCACTGGAGTCGCATTAGACCTTTAGAGGCGAACTGAAAATATTCTCTCGAAGTCTCTCTAAACTCTTAATGCTCCTTTTGCACGCTTCACATTTTCGTATTTTTTCCTCTCTCTATGTTTATTTATTACTTGAATACTTATTTTTATAAAATCAGTTTTCAAATGATTTATGTTTTCAAACACAACGTGATCATCTCCTACTCCACTACCAACAAATATAAATCTTTTGCTTTGCAACCTTTTCGAAGGCCTTGCACTTGAGCTTCGCCTGACTGTGCGGCGACAAGCATTTGCATAATAATTGCAAATTCAGCATTAGAGGTGTTGTTTTTTTTTGTGAATTCTGCAATAAATGTTTGCGTATTTGCAATAAATTTATGTGAATTTATTTTTGGCAGAAATTTGCACGATTCCATATTTTTTGTTTAACAAGAATTCAAAAACGAAGTAAAATAAAACAAAGAAAACATGACAATTATTATAGTGGATTTTTTTCTTCTCGGCAAATGTGTCACATTCAATTGGGGAGTGGATATTAGATTACCTTGGCGTATGCAGGTATCGATGACGGACAGTAGCTACTACGGTTGCAGACCACCAAGTGAAGCAAAATATAAATTATTAACAAAAACAATTTTCAAGTTCATACAAGGGACAAACAATTGATTCGCCTTATCTATGCAATTGTCCCATGAATTATAAAGGCATGGATTTTGATGGTTGCAAGGTTCAGGTTTTAAGCAATAATTTTGGGGTTGTCTTTCAATAACATAATATTGTGCGAATTTATTGTGCAAAGTTTTTTTTTTTTTTTTTCAATGCAAATGCATGACATGTTTTAAATTGTGATTTGCATGGCAAAGTTATTCAAAAAAAAATTAATAATTTGTGGGAAAATGTTGTTTTTTAATAATTTCTAAATACATAAACTACTAACGTTGATTCGATATAAAAGGAGATTTACATATTTTGCCCTAGAATTTAGAATATTAATGTACAAATCATTAGACACTCAACCTCGACCTTTATACAAATTGGTTACAAACAACTTTTCGAGTATAATCAAATAATCCCAAAAACATTTAACGTTTCGTGATAATTAATCACAGGGGAAAAATAAATACAACATTGTTGTTTTCAAATCTACAAATCCCATAAATGTGGGACGTAAACCCTTTAACAGTTACAACAATTATTATTGTAATTGATTTACTTTGAATTTCTAAAATCAATTAAATAAATCTTTTGACCAAATCAATGATTAATGATAACGATTTTAATAGCTAATCTTTTATACAAATTATTCCCATTTTATTGTGTTAATTAATCAATTCATTTAAATGAATGCCAAACACCCTCACATTAATTGTTTTTGGGGGTATGTTCTGTGATGGAATATAATGCGCTCACATTATAATCAGTCACTGAACATACCCAACATCGACTAAAACAAACAAATGCCGTTGAGATTACAGACATTTACACAACTTCGAGAGAGAAATAAGACAACATAACTACCAGAGAGAAATAAGACATTCAAAACAAGAACGAAATATAAAGAATATAAAGACACTTTTTTCAGAAAATAATAGAAAAATAATAAACATAACATTTATTGACACAAATGAACAAGTCACATGGATATTTTATAAAAATTAGAAAGAGGACAAGTGAATCTTTATAAAGAGTAGCAAACGTCCTGGATGACTCACAAAGAATGGATGACTCAAAGTCCAAAAAGTCTTTAAAAAAGTGCTGAAAGCCAAGAAGTTAGCATCAACAAGCTGAAAGCTAATAATTCTGAAGGTCAGGGAGTTCATATAGACGAGCTGATGTCCAGGGAGTCTTAATGTTAGAGGACAAGTAAATCTTTATAAAGAGAAGCACAAACGTTCCGGATAACTCCCAAAGACAAGTAAAAGTCCAAAAAGTCTTTGTAAAAGTGCTGAAGGCCAAGGAATTAGTATCAATAAGCCTAAAGGTAGCAATTCTGAAGGTCAGGGAATTCATATAGACGAGCTGATGTCCAGGGAGTCTTTATTTATGGAAAAGCTGAAGGTATAGGGAGTCTATATAGACTAGAAGAAATTCTAAATTCTAATGTTTTATACAAATTATTCCCATTTTATTTTGTTAATTAATCAACTCATTAAAATTAATGCTAAACACCCTCACATTAATTTGTTGGAGTTTATGTTCTGTGATGAAATATAATGCGCTCACATTATAATCCGTCACTGAACATACCCAACATCGACTGAAACAAACAAATGCCGTTGAGATTAAAGATATTAACACAACTCCTAGAGAGAAATAAGACGTTAACACAACTCCGAGAGAGAAATAAGACAAAACAAGAACAAAGTAGATAATATAAAGAAATTTTTTAGAAAGTAATAGAAAAATAGGTTACCAGATGAACAAGACACATGGACATTTTATAAAACTTAGAGGACAAATTTGCCTTAAAGGACAAGTGGATAAAGGGGAGCAACCGACACGGATGACTCACAAAGGCGAGTGAAAGTCCAAAAAGTCTTTATGAAAGTGCTGACGGTCGAGAACTTAGCATGAACGAGCTGAAAGCTAGCAATTCCGAAGGTCATAGAGTTTCTATAGACAAGCTGATGTCCAGGGAGATTGTAGACGAGCAGAGTCTTTATAGATGAGTTGAAGTTCCACGGGTTATTTATAAAAAAAACTGAAGGTCCAGGGATTTTGTATAGACATGGAATATAATGGGCTCACATTATAATCCGTCACTGAACACACCCAACATCGATTAAATCAGCCAAATGCCGTTGAGATTACAGACATTAACAAAACTCCGAAAGAGAAATAAGACATTCAAAACAAGAACGAAGTAGAATATGAAGTAGATAATAATATAAATACTCTTTTTTTAGAAAATAATAGAAAAATAGTAAAAATAATATTTTCTGACATGGACACATTGATATTTTTATTAAAAACTAGATGGAGGACAATTTTGCCTTAGAGGACAAGTGCATCTTTATAAAGAGACGCAAACGGCCCGGATGATTCACAATGACAAATAAAGGTCCAAAAATACTTTTTAAAAGTGCTGAAGGTCAAGAAATTAGTATCAACAAGTTGAAAGCTAGCAATTGTAAAGGCACTCTATGACCTTCAAAATTGCTAGCTTTCTATAGACGAGCTAATGTCCAGGGAGTTTGTAGATGAGCAGAGTCTTTTTTAGATAAGTCGAAGTTCCACGGGTTAAGGAAAAGCTGAAGGCCTAAGGAGTCTGTATAGACAAGCAGCAGTCCGCGGAAGTGTCAATCGACAACCTGAGGGCTAGAGAACGTAGTCTTTCAAAGCTGGCTGAAGCGAGCCCTCTGATGATGTCCAGAGAGTCTTTATAGACGAGCAGAGTCTTAATAGATGAGTTTAATTTCCACGCGTTATTTTAGGAAAACCTAAAGGTCTAAGGAATCTGTATAGACAAGCAAAGAAAGGTTCAATAGGCGACCTGAGGGCCAAAGAACGGAGTCTTTTAAAGCTGGCTTAAGCGAGCCCTCTTTATAGAGGAGGTGAAACTAGTTGGTCTGAACATAAATTTCTTGAGCTGAATACAGCCCCTTAAATATTCGCCATAGACCCTATAAAGTATATATATTCATGATCATCATAAAATTCTACGTCAATTTAACGACATCCGTCTGTATATTTGTTGAAATCACGATACAGCCCACATTATTCGACGTAGAGCTTCAGAATTTGGCAGAACAATTTTGTATTGTGTCTAGGATGATTGGTATTGAAAATGAGATATATCGGTCCCGGTTTTGATATAGCCGCCATATAATGGTTCCTCCCGATATTCGGTATTCTTATAATTTTCGCCACATTTTTTCATGGATTTGTCTTAAAATTGGCATTTGTGGGTCATAATGGGTTTTAGCTCCGGTCCACGTTTTGGTATAGCCCCCATATAACGGTCACTCCCGAAATTCGGAATTTGGATGATTTTCGTCAAATTTTTTTCACGGAATGGGTTCTAGAACCGGTGGTGGAAAATAGTATATATATAGGTCCCCGTTTTGGTATAAGTCCCATATAACGTTACCTCCCGAGATTCGGTGTTTTGATGATTTTTGCCACATTTTCTACGGATTTATCTAAAAATTGGTATTTGTAATGCATAATGAGTTCTAGCTCCGATGAGAGAACATTGAAAATTTAGGTCACGTTTTTCTATAGCGCACATATAACGATAGCCACCGATATTCGATATTTTGATAATCCTAGTCACATTTGCCCACGAAACTGTTTCAAATTTGGTATTTAAGGAGATTTGATAGATGACAAGCTTTGAAGTATAAAATTGTCTATAGAGGTTCCCGTTTTGGTTTGGGCTCACCCACTTTATGGTTTTTTTTTTTTTTTTTTTGAAAAGTTTAAAAGAAAGCATTATCCAAACGGTCTTACTGTTATTTGTAGTTTAAGGTGGAAATCGTTTGAATTCAGATACTTTTAAAGAATTTTTTTTTTCTTTACCCACTTGTGGCCGAACTTAATGTTTTCTTTCTTTTTCTATTAAGCCATAGGAATTTTTTTGGGTATTTGAGGTTGAGGTTGGGTTTTGAATTCAGAATCTTTTAAAGAAAAATGTTTTCTTTGCCCAATGGTGGAGGTTATTAAAAGTTCGGCCCGGTTGAACTTAATGTTTTTTTACTTATTCTATTCAGCCCTATAAAATTTTCTATTCAGTCCCTGGATTTCTTCACAAAATCTTCTATATAGCTAGGCTGATTATGTTTTTCTCTCTGTCAAATTTATGTGCCCCTTAAAAAACCGACCACGAGATAATGGTTACTTCACCCATCTTCCATGTAAGTTAGATAAAATGTTTAATTACATGTTAGGTTATGGGGAGTTTCTTCATTTCTTTTTTGTGTTTTTCTTGTTGTTGTTGTTGCTGCTGTTGATAACTTCAAATGAGAAAAGTCTAATGGAAAACAGTGCCAACGAAGCATTACAAAATAAAAACCCCAAGTTACAAAAGAGGGCCATGAAATGAAAATGATTTGTTTGTAGAGGTGGTGTGGTGCTGTTGTTGTTGTTTCTGCTTGAAAGTCATGTTAAAAAGAAATAGATGAGACTAGCCTGCCAGCCAACTATCCAAAAGGGTAATGATCTTTGCCATGTTATGAGTTTTGAAGAATAACAACAACAACTTACCTGCAAGGTATAAATCGATCCAGCGATGAGGTTGTGGAGGCAGCTTCAAAGGAGTTGAATAGATTTCTGGCCACGGGACTGCAGTGTTTCAAAATGCGTTTTTCATAATCAGGACTAAACATGTTGAAGGGCTGTGTGTTTCAGCAATAAAATCTCGTCTTAGAAAATATATACAATTTTAGGAGGAACACAAATGTGATGATTGTTGTTCGCCGATGATGATGATGATGGGGAAATGCTTTCTCTGTAAAAATTAAAAAAAAGAAGTGGAAAAAATGTTGGTTTAATAAGATTTTCTCATCATGTTCAACTCATAAATAATTTATACAAATCGACAATGGTTTTTAATTGTTCAAATTCCCGCCAAAACCACGAATTTTGTGTCGATGAAACACCTCTCTCACACACCACTCTCTCTTTCTCTCCATCTCTTTCTGTCTAACCCCATCCATTTCAAAACAGCAATTAATTAATCAATGTCAATAAAAGACATTGTAACAAGCTACAAATAATTGTTCCAATACAGCAGAACCCCAAAAAACACAGGAGTTCGAAGACAGCAAAACGTGTCTTACGTTAATCCAGCCGAGTCTCGCTAAGGTTGCCGGGGGTGGTGTGCGCGCTGGCAACCACCAGATTAAATGTCCGGGTAATCAGTTTTAAACAAAGTTGGATCGTGTTGTGAATACATCATTCGAAACTGGTGACGCCTCAAAGCCGCGAAGTGTTCAAAACTGATTTTGCTCGATAGAAAAGACCCAACAATAGACCAAAAAAATGCCCTTAAAAATTGCTCGAACAAGATCACGACGGACGGATGGGTAAGTACTGGCAGGCAATGACATCAAGAGCAACATAGGTGAACGAATTCTTCTTCTGAGTGGCTTTCCAACGTGTGGAGAATATTAAAGGTTGTTAACGGAGAATTTTTTTTTTTTTCAAAATTTATTACACTTGTCTTTGGGACACTTTAGCAAGATTTATTAGACAACACAATTAGGGTGGCGATATGAGGAAATTATAGAAATTTTACAGAAGCCAGTGTTGTTTCCATGGAAAAGTCTATAGATTCTGGCTAAATATCAGGTTTCCAATGAAAACTCTTATTTAGCCGGAGTTTTCCCATGGTCAAGCTTATTCTGCCAAACTTTATAGATTTCCCAGGGAAAAACCTAATTTAGTCTGGCTGAAGTGATGTTGGTTTCATGGAATATTAACATTTTCAAATACCGGGTGAGATGAAAAAACTGCAACTAACTTCAGACTGCTGTCATTTTTAAGTCACTCGTCCGACAACAGCTAAAATTATTCCAATGACAGCTCATTATATTGTTTACAAGCGTACAAAAGAATTTTGTTGAGAATTTTCCAGAAAAAATCGTTATTCGTGATAGAATTCAAGCGTGATAGTGTGTGATTTCTTTATATTTGGCTGGAAAACCACAAGTGCCTATCGTTAGAGCATTCCAACATTTAAATGTGAATAAATCTTTTGGGTCTCGTACCCGACCTCAAGGGAAGTGGATGGAAGAAAACAGCAACATCAGCAGAAATGGTTCGAAAAGTAATGAAGTCACTTGATCGAAACCCATAATGGCTCGTGAGCTGAACATATCGCAATATTCCGTTCGGCAAATATTGAACAAGTAAAAAAGCTGTAAATTCGGCCGGGTCGATCTTTGAATACCCTCCATCATTTGGAACGAGTTTGGCAATTTTCAAAAAAAAAAAAAAAAAAAAAAAAAAAAAATCCATTAAAAATACTGTTTAAATCTTAAAAATACCGAATGTAGCCGGTATATAAGGGTCTATACGACGACGTGGATCTGCATAGACCACTTTTGCCATAAGCCATTACAATATTCAAATGCGAAACTCGAACAGCAAAACCGATGAGAAATGTATAGCTAAACTCATCCAAATTCGGAATATAGGGAGGTACCGTTATACGGGGACTATATGAAGACTTGGACCTGCACAGAAAATTTTCTGCCATAGGCTGTAGTATCCATGACGAACTTCAAATACCAAATTTTAAAGAATTCCGGTGAATAATGTAGCTAAAATCATTAAAATATCAAATATATGGAGGTACCGTTATATGGGGGCTATACGAAGACGTGGACCTGCACAGACAATTTTTTGTCTCAGGCTGTAGCATCCATTACGAACTTCAAATACCAATTTTAAAACAATTCCGGTGAATAATGTAGCTAAAATCATCCAAATACCGAATATCGGGAGGTACCGTTATATGGAGGCTATATGAAGATGTGGACCTGTACAGACAATTTTCTGTCTTAGGCTGTAGTATTCATTACGAACTTCAAAGACCGAATTTGAAACAATTCCGGTGAATAATGCCGCTAAAATCATGAAAATACAGAGTATCGGGAGGTACCGTTATATAGGGGGCTATATGAAGATGTGGACCTGCACAGACAATTTTCTCTCATAGGCTGTAGTATCCATTACGAACTTCAACTACCAAATTTGAAACAATTCCGGTGAATAATGTAGCTTAAGTCATCAAAGTACCGAATATCGGGAGGTACCGTTATATAGGGGGGATATATGAAGACGTGGACCTGCACAGACAATGTTCTGTCTTAGGCTGTAGTATCCATTACGAACTTCAAATACCAAATTTGAAACATTTCTGGAGAATAATGTCGTTAAAATCATCAAAATACAGTATATCGGGAAGTACCGTTATATGGGGGCTATACCAAAACGTGGACCTACATCACCCATTTTCAATACCAAAAGATAATACAAATTTGAGTAAAATTTTATCAACCTACTTCATTTCGTTCGGAAGCTAGAGTGATTTCCACAGACGGACAGACCGCCAGACGGACGAACATCGCTAAATCGACATAGAATTTTATGCTGACCAAGAATATATATATATACTTTGTGGTGTCTAAAATGTATATTTCGAGGTGTTATTTCGGAATGACAAACTTAATATACCCTCCATACCATGGTGGAGGGTATAAAAATGAGCTCGGGGTAAAGCCATTGCAATTCCAAAAAGTGCAAGAACTTACACCGCAACAGAAAGAAAATAGACTCAAAAGAGCTAAAGAGTTGCTTCGCTTTGCTGAAAGTGGTGAACTGTCGAATTTGGTTTTCTCCGATGAGAAAACATTCGTTGTCCAGCAGTTTGTAAACAAACAAAACAAAGAGGTGAGCTTAAAATGTGGACCTTCGGTTGGCCACCAGGACTGAAGCGCCGGCCATGGTGATGGTGCGGGCCGCCATAACAGCCGATGGTCGCTTTCCGCTCGTATTAATCAACCGTGGCATCAGAATAAATGCCGAATAGTGTCGTGAAAATATTCTGGAGGGCGTATTAAAGCCTTGGGCACACAAAAATTTTGGCCGCAGACCTTGGACATTCCAACAGGACTCAGCACCATCGCTCATCGCACTCAGCACGCGCCACCCAAGAATGGTTACAAAATGAGATTGCTCGCTTCATTTCCAGCGCACAAAGGGGGCACTAAAATCTCCAGATACCAATCCGTTGGACTATTGTGTCTGGAGTATTTTGGAAAGCAAGGTTGGCACTAAAAAGCATCAAAGTGTCGACGATCACCTTAAGCAAGCGCTTCGCCGGGAATGGGCCAAAATACCGCAGAGCAACATTCGGGCAGCGTGTTCAGGTATTGGCCATTTGAAGGTCATATTTCCTGCCAAAGGTGACCAATTCGAAGAAATCTAAACTTATTCTAAAATTTGATGCTATTTCCCACATTTTTTGCTTTCATTCAATAAAATTTAAAAAAAAATATAAAAATTGAGGCGTTTGACTTTGTTGCAGTTTTTTTTTTATCTCACCCTGTAATTATAAACAATAATTACCAAATTATTTACAAAAATTCGCGGCACTTCTTGGTAAAATAAAAACAATTAAAACTTTAATTTCTCTTCGGTCGATGTTGTTTCTTTGATTACTGCACACAAACTGTTCTCCATTAGTCAATTTCAGTGGTCTTTTATGAAACGAAAAAAAGTATGAACAATTCCCGATTCAAATGTTGAATGAATGAGAGGACGGACGGACGGACGGGCCGCCCGACATCAGGGTGTTAATGGTGACAATAACAAAACATAAACAAAATAAATCCAATGTTAAGGACAGTATGGATGAGTCGTCCCGATGATGATGAATATTTGTCACTTGTTTTCGAAACACAAATTGACAACTGAACAAACAAACAAACAAGTCAGGTATTTTGCTAATCCGCCAAGGAAGAAGGCACGCCACCAGCCACACCGGCCGAGGATAATGGACGACAAAAGTCATGAATATATGTTTTTGTTTTTGGTAATAATCGTTCAATAACCAAAACATAATCAGCTTTGACTAGGTAGCTCCTTAGTTCATAAAATCCCAATTAGACCAAACCGAAGGTTGGGTAATTTCCAAATAATGTTTCTGTGGCTGGACAAAAAACTGTAGTTGTTTTGTCATCATTTCGGCGCAGATAAGTGGCCTAATTGGCCGACAACAAACCAATTGAGTGTTAATTGAAAGTAATGGCAGATAAATGGGAGAGCTTATCAACGACCTGAGGGGAGTTTCCATACGGGAGTAGAGGTGAGTCATTTGAAGGGCCAGGAGTCTCTAAGGAAGAGCTGAAATCCTGGAAACATGTTCCATCAAGTTGTAGGCCAGGGGGGTTTTATAGACGTATGTACTGAAGGGTCCAGGAACCTCCATAGACGAGCTAGAGGCCAGGGAGTTTTCATAGACGAGCTGAAGATCCAGGATGTCCTAATGGAAGAGGTAAAGAAATCTTGATGGACGGTTAGGATTCGAGAGTTTTCATATATGGGCAGATGGCCAGAAACGGAGAGTCTTCCTTGGCGAACCGAAGCACGTGTAAGTCTTCATCATGGAAACATTTCTCATCAAGTTGTAGTCCAAGGAGTTTTTATAGGGGTACTGAAGGGTCATAGGCGAGCTGTAAGCCAGAAAGTCTTCACAAGCGAGCTGAAGATCCAGGGAGTCCTAATGGAAGAGGCCAAGAATGTAGGTCTTCATCCTTAAAACATTTTCCTTCCAGTTGTAAACCAAAGGGATTCTATAGGCATACTGAATGGTCCCAGGAGCCGTCATAGACGAGTTGTAGGCCAGGGAGGCTTCATAGACGAGCTGAAGATCCAGGGTGGCCTAATGGAAGATGCCAAGAAATTTTCATGGGCGGGTAGGGTCTGGGAGCTTTCATAAAC